ATTTTAGTCTTGCTTGTAAAGCATTATGGAATTATTGTGATAATAATTATGAAAAAACTGATAATCAATCACTTTGGTTTACTAAAGAGCAACTAAATATTCTATTTGCTCTTTTTGATGAGTCTCTTCGTAAGTATTTTATTTTAATATATAAAAAAAAGTATTAAAACTTATTCTTGTTTTTTTTTTGTAAACAAAAAGATGAAAGCAATCTTGAATCAACTGATGATAAAGAATTAGATGAATTAAATAAACAGCTATGGAATGAAGAATATTATCCAGTTGCATCACGTTTATATCAACGTTTAGTAGACGAAAATAAATATTTTCAATCAAATGAAAAAACCAATAATCATGCATAATACATTTCTTAAATAATCTCATTTCTTTTCTTTTCTTTTTTGTTTCATGTTTTCTATTCGTTTTTCCTAACGAATAAGTCTTTCAATCAATTTTCGTCTTTTTGTCTCTTCTATCATATATAAATTTCACATACTCTATAGTATTTTTAGTGTTTTCACTTGTTTCCATTGCCTACAAAAATAATATCATTTGCTTTTTCTTATTGTAAATATTTAATCAAATACTATCAGAATTAATAATCAATGATAGTTAATTATATTTTTGAATTATTTTTGAGGAATACGAACTGCAGAAAATGTCAATCAGAAAAAATATTGTAATGTGAAGAGATAATGATAAGAAAGAGAAATGTAGATTTTAATTAATGATATTCCAAAAAATAGTAATCGATCTTCCGATAACATTTTGCAAATGTTTTTAGGAATTCTTTTTCTAATATTACATTAACTTATATTTTCATAAGTTGTTTTCTTCGAGTTATTTCTCAGTGGAAATTGTGAGATTTGAATAATCAGTTATGCAACGAGAAACTAATTGTTTAAATATATTCATGTTGGTCGGCATTTTAAATCTAATTTAGGTTCATGATATTTGAACTTGTTGACATGTTGAATACTATGTTCGTTAGAGATAATCTTTGAACTTTGTCAAATAATTTAATTATGAGAAAGAATCTAATATGTTTTGGTAAAGTTGATTGGTTTTTTTCACTTGATCAAGTAGTTGATGAGATGTAAAAGTACCTATTGCACTTGATCGACCGATGAATTGATTATATTCGACGAAAATATTGATGATGATAGAGAGAATAAAATCGCAAGATCATTTGCAAATATAATTTTGTTCGATTACTTGCATTCTACTAAATTAAATTCATTGTAATATATTACAAAATTAGATAAAAATGAATGTGGGTGTGGATGTCTCTTCTGGAAGCTCACACCCTTAAGATATTAGAAAAATTTTAGTTCTTTTTTAAACTCGATAAATGTATGTAAATGATTACCACATCATTTATCGGTGGTATTTAAATCTTATTTTTAAAACAATATAATATATGTTACAGCCGAAACAAAATTTGACAGGCACAAATAAGATTACTCTAGTTCTTGATAATGATCACTTGATGCTAAACAGTATAAAAAGAATCTTAAGATACTTCAGTAAATTAACTCCGCACTTGCATACTACTTGCTATAAATATGTACTTGATCTTTTTTTTTAATGTCATTGATACTACCATCAATCGCATAGAAACCAGATAATAAGAAAATAATTGGGATACTCTTTCGAAAAAACATTTTTTATGCATGTTTGAATAATATTATGATCTTACACAGTATTGAATAAACATTACTTAGCTATGATAAATATTCAACGTTGATTAGAGAATGAAGATTTTTATTACTACCATGCATATGAAGCCATCATTTTACGAAAAGTTTTTCGTGATTATGATGAATTATCGAAAGATTATTTTTTTCGAGTAAAACTTAGATGAAGTGTTTTAGTTGTTTGGTTATAAATACTTTATTTCTATAGTGAGCGTATGACTATGACTAAGAAGACCACATCTATTCTCAAGATATGTCATATTCTTCAGAAGTCAGTCAGTAGACTATTTGACATACAAAGTTAACAGATTATTTTTTAAGTTATGCAACAGCTGTACAATTAGCCATTTAGTGTTACTTTTCACAGTTTGAATTGTTTGCACAAACAAAAAGATATGACATGACATACATATCTAATTGCGTATCTAACCAATTATCAGCGTGTGAAAATATTCGACTGTTCATATTCTGCCAATTAACACATTTTTCAAGAGGAGAGGACGATATGACATTCTTCGGTCATACGTACAACAGAGGCATATATAAATATGCATTATTCGGTCAAACAAACCATTGAATAACACAACAATTATACAAACCAAATCACATTATCCAACTTGTTGAAGTCATGTCGTCTCAATGGTTAATATCAATGATATTCATTTCTTTCTTACAACTGGCTATTGGTAATATCATCAGTAAGTTGACCAAAACGTAAATTATAGATTTTTCTTAATCTACGTTTAGTGAGACAATTCTTTTTTGTTAATATCAGATTGTCAGCACTATTTTTCGATTTCAAAAGATACATCAGATGCTTTTTTGTATTAAAACGAAAGATAAATCCATTTAAAGGCTACTTATTAACAAGACAAAGCGTTGAGAATATTTTACTAAGATTAAGGATGCAGGATTAAAGCAGCGATATTTCTGTTGTTCACGATCAAACTTTGAAAATTTAGTACCACTATCTTTGTATTATTTTACTGCAGAAAATAATAAGAGACTACAATCATTTAATTTAGTAATTTCTAGTACAACATCCTCAAGCTTAAAATATAAAAGACAATAAAGCTATTTAAATCGTGAACAGGAACACATTTTAATGGTGCTTTAAGTGAAAGTTGTTTTCGAGGTAGAAAGCTCGTGTAAGTTTCGTTTTAAATACTTTTACACTGATGACTTACTGTGGGTTATAAAATGTAAAAACAACTTTTTTGTATCATTCTTTTTTTTTTACATTAGATGGTTCTTTGGTTGATAATACTCTCGAATACAATATCAAACAAACTCGAGATTTACCTTCAGATATTGCAATAGAACGCGACGGTTTTGACACGTCGTACTTTTATCGTTTAAAAAATCGTGAATCGGGTATGGAACTGGCATTAGATGTCAAGAACGATGGCAAACTCTACGAACTCAATATGAAACCGATTAGCAGAAATACGGGTCAATTCTGGCGATTTGTTCATTTAGGTGAAAATATATATAAGCTTCAAACTCGCTTTCTTGGCAATAAATACTCTCTTGATATTAATCCAAATAGTAAAGACAAAAACATACCACATATAGCCAAGACAGCTCTTGTAACAGGACAACGTTGGTGGATTAGTCGTCTTACTGATGGCACATATACATTAAGCAATGAATATAACGGTGTCAGTTGGGCTATGGATATATCTAGCAGCAAAAACCGTGCGTATATGAATGACATAGATACCTCTCGTGATGGACAACATTGGACCATTACTAAGATCGAGAAGATTCCGCTTTTTTATTAATCTTTTGGCTTTACTATTACTTGTTGAACTATAGAAGATTAGATATTAGATTTCTGTTTTTCTTTTCTTGTATCACACAGAAAAAATACATTTAACATCTTTATTTCTTTGTTTGTTTTGCGTTAGTGTTGCTGTGTATTTGTATTCCAGCTCATAGTGTAATACTCTTTAGAAAAATAAAAATTGAACAATGAATCAACAAAAATCATTATCGTTGCTAAGCTAGCAATTAACTGATTATCTTTCCGAGACTTTTTCTTAACAATCATTCTTACCCACCCTCAAAATACTAAATGAGGGTGGTGGGTGTGGGTGTTAGATAAACAGAGTAGTGATATCCCCCCTCCCCCAATACACACCCTCAAAACGAACAATAGTAACGATTTGTTGAAAAAATAATTTTGCATGAGAACGCATAGCAACAAAAAATGCGTATAATTTAATCTATCTATTAAGAATGTATATTTGTTGCATCAATAGAACAGATATAATATCAAATATAGACATATATCATTAAGAAAAAATAAAGCTTGATGGCAGTTGTAGTTTACCAAAAAAGATTTCATACATCTGATATTTGTAATTCATTTATAGTAAATAAAGGTTATACAAGGCAGCATTTTTCAAAGATTACTTAGTTAAATTTTCATGTTAATATTAAATACAGAAAATATCGATATTATAACTTCTTGCCTATAGAAAGGAATACCTATTAATAATGAATGAATAAAATACAATCTTATAAAAAATTTAACTATTTGTCAATAAAAAGAAGAATTTTTATATCAACGATACTTACTTTGAAGAAAACGCTAACAAGGAAATATTTTTAAACTATACTATTTAATTATGATTTTAATTTTTTTTCCAGCATAAAACGTAATATTCTGTCTATTGATTCTTTAAAACAAAAGAGAAAAAGAAATCTTCTAATCTAGTTATCTGTATATTACTCATATATCTTATCAAATATTATTCTTACCTACAAACAGAATGTTTGCATTAGTTACTTTTCTCGTTTGCTATTTATTACAAAGTCAATTGGTTATAAAATTCGTTAAAGAACTAAAACAAAAAGTATATGACTGTAATAATGAAAATCTTATATTTTTTCTTTGTTCGTTTTTTGTTTCTCTAGTGAAAACCGTGAGTGACAGTACATATTATACTTCACATCAATCTGAGGTAAATATAAAACTAAAAAATTACAAAGTATGTTATATAAAATTTTATTACTATTATCCAGACATCAGATTGGTTAAATAATGAAACTACTACAATGGATATTTCTACCACTATAAGTTCAACGACATTTTCTACTACTTCATCAAGTGATATCACAACAACTGCACTACCGAAAAGTTTATCTGGTGGTGTTATTGCCGGTATTGTAATTGGTACAATAGTAGGTGTTATTCTAATAGTATTAATTGCTTATATTATTTATAAATATCGAAAATCTTGTGCTGATAAATTACAAAAACGTTCACTATCTCCTAATAATTCTTCTGTTCGAGTACATTAAGAAATATTTATTGACTTCAATAATTATATTTATTTTTAGTATAAACCAGAAAATTCTCGAGCAGATGTAAATGTAAGTAAAATATTAGTTTATAAATTCTTTTCAAATATGTATTTTTCTTTTAGAGTGCTCCACCTGATGAATATTTAACTGTAGATACATTACCACCTCCACAACGAAAGAATCAACAATTTACTGATGTAAATAAAATTATTTTTAAATCAATTTCTTTTATTTTATATTTATTCTAGATCTCAACAAGACAAATGGGTCGTTGAATTGAATAATTAGACAATTTGTTAATAATTTTCATATTAATTTATCAAATAGAAAACAATTCATATTTAATCAGACACCATATGTAAATCAACAGATTTCTTTTTATTGAAAACCTTGAAATGTTACATTAGTCGACGAGAAGTAGCGAAGTTAGATAATTAAATTCTATAAATGATATATGACAGAATAAAAATTTGAGTGTTTTTCTTTTTATCATTTAAAAAAAGAAAGACTATTCATTAGAAGTGTTTAGCGCCTTTGTTAATTTGTCATTGAACTTTTATTAATCAATTAGGAATAGTTTAGATGTTCAGCAACTCGTAAACATTCATTTTCTAATTAACAAGAAGAAGAAAAAAGATGACTGAAGTCAGTGTAATGAAGGCATTGATTATAATAGCTCGAGCGATGTAAATTCAAGGTTTTAATGTTACTTATGAATAATTTTATATGTTCATAAACTTTCTTCTATATTATTAATTCGTTATAAAACTAAATCTTTTTTTTTAATAGAATGAAGAAAAGTAAATTATTTATAGAAACATAAAATTTAATTTGTTAATCAATTATAGATTTACATATGAATAATAATTGATACAACATTGAGTATTGTTGAAATATATAATTATAAATCGTATTCTATTGACCTTGTTTTATCAGTCAATTATAAATATTAGAATTCCATGTTAGTCGATCAATGATTATCTCATATCAGTATGATTTCTCTTTTTATCAATAAATGATAATCTATAAGATTATTCATGAAATTATTTTAATATAAACACAAGTCTAGGTCTTAGATTATCAAGTTTCCGATTATTTCTTAATACTATTCAAAAACCAAATTGTTTTTTTTTCCATAAGATAAATGTCCTTGAATAATAATAATACTTATCTATATTCTCAACTTCATTATATAAATATTCTTCAATAAATGTCAACTAATAACTAAATCAAAATAGTCATTCATTGTTTAAGAATATCTTTTCTTCTTTTTTTTAGAATATTTTCGATGGTTAATTATTCGCGAATATTATCTTTTTCTTTGTTAGAATATTTATATATGCATAATTGTGTCTTTCTTTTTTATTTTCTTTGCATATACATTTTTGGAGAAAATATATTCATTGATGGAAAAAGAATGTCAAAGACCTTTTTCTTCTTAATGAACATATAGTTAAATGTCGACTATACTAGAGATTTCTTTTTCTTTTTTGCTTCAAGCTACAAAAGAATAGAGTTATAAGACTGTTTTTGTTACAAACTCCTGATGACGTAACAAACAGCAATAAAAAAAAATCATATGCATGTGCATCAAAATTCGATTTCTTTTTTTTTTTCTTCTTCTTCTTTTTCTTCGTCTTCACTATCGTTATTTATGTCGAGCGAAACACGAGAAAGATAGTATAGTAATAGCAACAGATGGTACTCGATGACGATGGCCGATAAGCAATGTGAAGACAGAAATATGGAGAAAAGAACAAGAAAATAGGAGACATATATATCAGAATGTAAAACGAGCAAGAGAGAGAGAGAGAGAAAGACATAGGCAGAGAGCTTTTTTTGCAGTCGCTGTCATCGTCCTCTCAATCAGTATGCGGATTTAACACTCTCGTCTTCTTCTTTTCGGTTCTGCTCACACATATCCAAAGAGGAAACAATTTTCTTTCTCCACAAGCAACCAAAGACGACTGAGTGAGCGAGTGAATAAGTGGTAGAATATATATATATAGTAGTGAACGAATGTCATTGAGACTATTGTTAAATAATATTCAGTAATCATTGAAGATTGTCGTCTTGATAATTTAAAGAATTATACTAATACAACGATGAAAGTAACTTATTTTCTAATTGCTTGATTTAGTAAGTAAAAAATAGAGATGATGATGAGCTCTTTTTTTCATTTGTCATTTGGATTCTCTTGAGTATTCTCTAGTTTTTTGGTTCAACTAAAAAAGAAGTTTTTTTTTCTTATTACGAAAGAATTCTTATTTAGTTTTTTTTTTTGCATTTTTATAGAATATAATAATTTGTATTCAATCACAAAAGAATAGATTATTGAGTTCGATAGGTAATATTCATCATGAACAGAACTATTGTTCACCCCTTTTCTGTTTCTTCTTCCTCCTCCTCCTTCTTTTTCAGCAGTTCATTTCCGTTATGGATTCTTATTCTTCTTTTTTTCTCAAGCTATCACCACCACTTAACATACGGATGGACTGAATGTCATTCTTTTCCTTTTTCTTAATAGGTAATATTGTTCATCTAGAAGTTTGTTCAATTATCATAGAAAATAATGAGACACATATTACATTCTCTTAATAAATAAATACAAAAAGAAATCGAACCTTCATTTACGGAAAAAAAAAGAAAGAGTGGAATATAAATCATTCAGGTAATATATTAATTAATAGAAAAAAAAACTACTTTATATGCAGCAAAAAAAACTTTAAGATCAACAATCGAATCCTTGTTAACATAGGTTTTTTCTTGCTTGAAACATATTGAATATAGCCTCTTATAAAATAAATGATTCATATAAGAACAAGGTCTTTCTTATTTGATATACCTCGATGTGTACTACGAAATAACATTATATATATATTTACCTTATTAGCCAATATTTATTTTTGTTTTATAGAAATTTCTTTTATTGGCAATAAAAACATGATTATAAATTCTACATTAATTGATCGTAATAATGATCTGTATTATTATGCTGATAATTTTCCATTACCATATGAGGATGAAGAGTGGAATATTGATTTAACAAATCGTACATATTATGAAGATTATATTTTAAATACTAATCAAACATATAATATAACAAATACTGATGTTTTATCATTATCATCAATATTTTCATTTTCAAGTCCATTTTCTTATATACTTTTAATATTAATGGTTTATTCGACATTAACAATTATTTTACTTTCATTAAGTTTATATAAACAAAGACGAACTGAAATTGAAAATTTTTATTTTGGAGATACAGAGGAAGAAATTCAACAAGCAAAACGTGCATTAATTTGTAAACAAATCTTAATTGAAAAAATAAGTAAAGGTGATATGGAACCTTTATTAGTTTCAGATTCTGATGGAACAGATTCGGAATCTAAAACATCAACATTTCCATTGCATATTGTGTGAGATAAAGACACAAAAAAAGAAGGAATAATCTCTTTTTTTTCTATTTGTTATAATGAATATTTTTTTCAAAGAATAGAAATTATTGCTCAATCAATGTAAAATAAATCTATCGAGTTTTCTTAATAAATTTCATCAATTTCAATGGATAGTCTAAATTAATTTATTCAAAGCACGTTTTATTATTATTATTAAGAATCTACTGAGAATATTTGACCGTATAGAATTATACTTTCTCTTATCATTCTATAGGAACATTTTTAGCTTGAGAAATAATGGATGTTTAAGTGAATATTAAATCCGATTTTCTAGATGAATGCATTCATGAAATCTTGAAGGAAAAAAAAATAAGATTTAATTTAATGTCTAGTAGCTTAAGTATCTTGACCTATAGAAGAAAGCAATCATACTTCAATTAGTAAGCTTGATATTCTGTCCTCAATTATAGAGAATATCTTGCGGATAAGTTAATCAGTATAAGGTGAGTTAGTAGATTGAATGTCACGCAAACAGCTGTGTTGATCTAACAAGTGAATTGTATAACCTTGGAATATTTATGTTAAGTTAATTAAATAAATCTCTTTCTATAGGTTTTAAATAGGAGAATAAGAAGAAGAAAAACAGAAAATAATTTGCTTTGTTTATATGTCAATTAAGGATAGAAATGGTAAATAGAGAACATATGGTGAATGAATTAACAGAGAAACATAACAGTTGCTTGTTTGTACATCTTTCTATTAATATAATTCTGATCATCCGTTCTATTTTTTGGGTCTACATGCGCTTATCGATTTAGCTAGAAGCACTCCACTATGTTTATGATTACAAAGTATACTGTACTAGGAATAATATCATATACATCGTTAAGAAAAAAGTTCTTGTTTTTTTTGTTTTCTATGTAATGATTGATACTAATGAGTTGTACAATTATTTTCTTTCATCAGTTAGGAGATATTTAGACTAAATATCAAATATATATGATGTAAGAAGAGAATAAGGTGCAAAGATCGATTGTTCCCTAGTGATTAACGCTTGAGTCAATATCCATAAAATGACAACAAACATATGGTATTATTTTCTCTTGAGAAAAACAGTTTGTTATAATTAGTCTAATTTATATTTATCGAAGGACATATATATATATATATGTATTTCTAAATGTACATAGACAAATGGTTCTTATTTCGATCGAAAAAATAGAAATTCTTTTTCTCTGATATATTTTATATAAGTAAATTATTATTCTTTGATTAAACGAAGCGAAGTTGAGAATCACTTGATATTATTAAGTCAAGAACGATTATCATTTGCATAAATTGATTATCGTTCTATATGTTGTGCAAGAGACGTGACAGCCTACTGATTGAGATATTGTTTCGTAACAAACTTCTTCTTTAGAAGAAAAAAAAACTCATTGATTGGGGAGGATGTCTTTTGTTTTGTTTGAAAATCTCTAGTGATTAATCTTTGACATAGTTGATGTTCTTTTTCTTTCTTTATCCGGCTCATTTGTGCGTGTGAATGTGTCAACTTGTTTCAGATTTTCATTCATTTCATTTACTATCTTCTACAGTTTTTTTTT